ACAGTAGTGTTTACAAATTTTCCTTGTATTTTCAGATTAATCTACAACACCGTGAAGTCCCTGAAGCGTGAACTTTGGTAGTTTGGTTATTGTGCGAAAGCACCACGTAACCACACGTCTTGTCACCATGAACGAACAAACAATACTCGGTGTCCGGTGAGGAATGTACAAGTCCACTATAGCACCAGTTATTGATGCCAGGCTTCACGGTCCGCAAATTTTTTACGCCAATGACGTCAATCGAGGACACTGGAAAACCCAGAAGTTCTCTGCAAATTTTTGTCTCGGTCTATTTTCCTTCCTGATCAACTTGAAGGTTCTATTAATATCATACAGCATAGAATCATGTTTTCCTTGATACTACGCTTGTCTATTAAAATGAATACTTTTTTTTGCGATTAAGTCCACAAGTCATACGCGTGATAGAGTGGCACCATAGTTAAGATAATTTACACGAGGTACTTGATAGCCTAATAAAGTTACTAGGAGACATTGAAATTTTACTTGCCTTAGAAATTTATTTCACTCAGTTATTATGTTATCATATTCCTGCTCAAGTTTAGTGTGCAATGTAGAGTTAGTTTTTGGGCGTAAGCCCAAACTCATTTGGAATAGAATAGAAGAGTCTGCACTGAAGAAATAGTCCCATGGCCTGTTGCCGATTCTTGTACTTTTCTTGATTTGATTTCACACCCTGTCGCAACAGGCTACTCCTAACGTAACGTAACCTAACCTGCGAGGCTGCGCCTCTGTTGCGGTGGGGCCTGTTGCGCTCCGGCCAGTTGTGCTCCGGCGCTGTGAAGCAGTGGCTGTGTTGTGCAAAGCGGATTTACAGTTAGCCGGAGTTACCCACAGCTCATTGATCTGAGGCTATGTGTAGATATTGCATGCTGATGGTTGGCGTTAGGCCCAAGGCCTGTTTACGAGTCAATTTTGTTACCCAAAGCTGCGCTCCCGTTCCGCGCCAGCTGCCACCACATGTCCACGACCACATCACGGACATCAGCCACCTAACTTCAGTTTGCTCACAGTTATTTTTACACAGTAATTTTTATCTTTCTCCTTCCCTACATGGATGTCTACTTTAATCTACCAATCTCAAAAATTACCCAAATATATATAAAATAAAAGACTAATTTTTTATATGTATATGTGGATAATTTTTGAGATTGTAGATTAAAGTGGACATCCATGTAGGGAAGGTAAAACATAAGAATAACTAATTTTTATTTACTGTATCTAACCCGTACTATTTCGGTTAGGTTAATTGCAATAAAGTTGCATTGATATGTTTTGAAAATGTTTTATTATCACTAAATGTTTATGAGTAAATCCCAATAGCAAAACAATAAATATTTAGAGATTTCCAATAATTTTGGCCATTGTAGCGGCTAATGTAGCGGCGCTACATTTTACTGTAGCGGTAGCGGCAGCTACATTTCAGAGTAGCGCTGCCCAGCTCTTTCTGTTATACCTCAGAACCTATTTCATTCAGCAAGACAATGAGAAGCCACTTGCGAGTGCAACACTGGCGCTCTGAAACGCTCATCATACGTCATACGGGATATTATATATTAGCGGCCAGCATTGCTTAATACCTCCATCAATTTTCTGTGATGAGTAAAGCATGCTACAGTTTAAGTCAGTGTAGTCGCATGGATTTGAACCCCAGAAATAGTCTTCAATGATTTAACGTCAAGGAAGTTAGGCGAGCAAAAGCTGCCAGAAACTTGAGTTTAGTGCACTACGTCCTAACAAAGCGAATAACCTAATTATAACACGTATCACTTATGTTCTGTTTTTACGTCATCCATGAATCTGAATAAACGGTAGAAAATAATCAGTCGATTTATTTCTCCCGTTGAGCCACCACATCCGTGTTAAATATAAAATATAATTTTCAATTTGAAATTAAATTCAAAATTCGCATTCAAACATTTAGCTGCAACATGACTTGACGGTATGGAAAGAATAAGGTCCGGAATACAAAAAAAAATCTGTTTTTTTTTTAACAGTTCATAAAACAAAGATTTCTCAAAGTCAGAGTACATCATAAGTCAAAGGCTCTACAAATTAGTGGCTCTCATTTATAAGAGATCCTCATAAATAAGAGATCTTCATAAACCAAAGACCTTTAAAAAAAAGACGGTAACCAAAAGAAGGTAATGAACCCAAAACCCTCAATAAACAAAGAACCATAATAAACAAAAGACCCTCATAAACAAAAGACCCTCATAAACAAAAGACCCTCATAAACAAAAGACCCTCACAAACCAAAGACCCTTTTAAACAAAAGACCAGCATAAACCCTCATAAAGGGAGTAACAATTAATTCAGTGATGTCGGCGCTGAAGAGTGGGCCTGATGTGGCCTGTCGGCGATTCTTGTACTTTTCGTGAGTTGTTCACAGAATATCTAAAAGCATGTCATTGGACCGGATCTTTTCAGGACTGACGATAGTTTGAAATTGCTACTAGACTTACACCGGGTTCGATATTGTGCTAGGCATCTCAAGTCTGAACATATATTTCTCCATAGCTTTATCTATTGTTCTTGAACTCGTTTATACTCTGAGCGTCAACGATGTAATCGGGGAGGCAGTTCCACGTCATGTCGGTGATTCGAAGCGAGAAGAAATGTTGTCGCGTGGATGAGTTGCAACTCATTTTTTTTAGTTTATGGAGTTTCATAGGTGGTTTATTGAGTTTCATAGTTTATAGGCTCCTGGTGTTGGTTCTTGTTTCAAATTCTAGTAATCCTTCTGGGCCCTTGTATAAACCTTGAGTATACTTGTATGCTTCAATGAGGTCCCCAGGCAGACGTCGATCACTGAGGCTTGGAAGCTTCAAAATCTTTAATCTTTCTTCATAGAATTATCCTTGTTGCACGTCTTTAAACATTCTCTATTAAATTTTTGTCCTTTTTAAATCTCGGTGACTACACAGCGTTTCCAAATTCTAGATTCGGGTGCACGACAGCAACAAACAACTGCATCATCGCCTCTGCATCTAGGAACTTTGCATCATCAGTGCACCAGTGTTGGTTGCATCATCGCCTCTGCATCTAGGAACTCGCAGGAGCGTCTGATTAGTCCAAGAAGTTTGTTGGATGTATTACCTTGCGTTTCAACATGTTTAGAAAATTTCAGCTCCTTGTCGACAGAAACTCCCAAATCTTTTTCCACACTAGACTTTTCAATCATTACTCTCTCGTTGCATCCATGTCTTCTCATACTGTAATCTTGCTGTTCATTGTCCTTCTCGAGTTGAAGTACTTTACACTTGTCAGCAAATTTACTTCCAACTTGATATTCAAACCATATTAGTATCGCAACATCGCACTGGATGGTGGATAAACACCTTAATTTTTTGTGGTTCCGTGATACGTCTAAGATAAATCTAAATCTGTTCAATATTTAAGGAGAAATTCTATGCCATGCTCACTGCGAAATTAAAGGGGGCGCAGCCGTAGGCAACAAATTTTACTCTTAAATAAGACCTGGAGCTAACGCCTAGCGTCACCCCTAGTAACAATTGTACAATGGGCCCATGAGGGGCCCATGTGACAATGTGGAAATGAGGTGGCATTACGGGTTCAACATATGGGGCCCACATTGATGCTATCTTACTCTGAATTTGCATGACATTGCTATGTGGCTACAACATTGTACAAATAGAGCAAAACCAGTAAATAAATCGGTGGTGTTGGCCCATATGGTGTGCATGTGGCAAACCATTACTCTTAAATAAGACCTGGAGCTAACGCCTAGCTTCACCATGCATTCACTTTACTCAGCCTCAGAACTAGAAGCCGCAGACTACGCTTGAACTCCGTAATCCAGACAAGCGAAACACTGCCGAAAGACAATAGCGCCGTAGGTCTTCAGCCAATGCTTAAGCATGCTCGCTCATAAGCAGGCAGTTCCCCATCCGGCTGTACCTACTCCGGCCTAACCTCTTCTGGCCTAACCTATTCACGCTGTCACGGCTCACAACCTTCTTGCAGCCAATGACTGGCTCTACCAGTACACTTGGACCACCTTTCTAACTTCTTGCAGCCAATGAGGTTAGGTTAGGTCCGCTCAGGTTTGTTTTGGGTGGAGAAAGGTTGCAGCTCGTATAGGTTAGGCCAGAAGAGGTTTGGCCAGATGCTGTATGGCCATATTTACCTTTGGCAAGCTTATTTTGTGGCTGTGGACATCCGGCGCTATGGCTTTGAGCACTTGACTTCATAGGCCGTTATGCACTCAAGCGTTCTTCCCTGTGAAAAGGAATATGAACTAAGCGTGAAGTTTGGCAAAGCTGGCCTCCGGCATGCGCCCCAATTTTAAGCATTTATTTCATAAATGAAAAAAATGCGCTGAAAAGGCTAAGACATAGATTAACAAACAGACTATGACAACTATACAGATCTAAGTTTTTAATATTATATAATACCTAAACTTGATTGGATATGCTTAGAGAAGTAAAGTGATGCACACTGTAAGATGTTCAGTCACTTAAAATTGTTCGGTTACGCAAAAATTTCGTTTTTAATTTTACTTGAAAACGGAGTGATGTGAAAATCTGTAATAATCTCCATCACAGCGCATGGATAATATCTACCTACCTATACTCCAAATTTCAAGCCTCTCCGTTCAGTAATGAAGGACTTATGACTAGGTCAGTTGCTTAACAATTACATTTTTCAACTTACATCACTTCAAACGAAGTAATGTAAAAATCTGTAATAATACTCATCACAACGCATTGATAATAGCTACTATATTCCAAATAAATTATAAGCAAATCCATTCAGTATTGAAGACTTATGTCATGACTGGGTCGGTTGAGCATAAAGTTAGATTTTGTGTTTGAGTCCGCAGGCGAGTTCAAAGAAGCGTAGATTTGGTGTGAGTATAAGTATAGAAAATCTCGAATTAGGTTCACAATGCTAGATTATTCTCGAAATTGTGCCTGAGGCTTCGAGAATGCGTCAGTGCGCCAGTAACGTGGCAGTGAAGACCAAGTCAAAACGAAACAAACTGGCAGTGTGTTGAGAACGTTCGTGGAGTACGGTTGTGCGAAAAGCTTCTTCAAACTTTCATTGCCTTATTTGTTATTCCTCTCGCCGGGCATCATGGATGGATTCTTTAATATTCCCGTTAGGTTGGGCGACTTCAGCGTAATCGACGACGAGTTCAACTCTATCAGAGGGCGATTTGACACTGAAATGAAGAAGATGGAGGAAGAGATGTCAAGATTTCGTAACGAATTAATGAACCGCGAGTCTAACTTCTTCGGTCAATCGATGTTGACTTCGTCAAGGTAAATGCACTTTTTCCTATATCATTATTGTTTTATTGAAAATATTTTTTATTAAATACTATCTCGGTTTATTGTGTAGCATTATGAACATTTTCATGTCTTGTATGTGTATTTATTTTGTTCCGTTGCGGGCAACTTTCAATTGGCAATTGTTTGAATGAATTTACCACAGATTGGTTAGGTGTGCGGAAACTAAATCATACCTGGCGAAGCGACAATGAGACACGAGTAATCGCTGTTATTTCTGTCGAACACCAAGGCAATTTCGTGCAACACAAGAACGGTTTATATCAATCGTTCTTTGTTTTTTGAAAAATTACTTCGAAATTTCAGTTTCACTAACGAAACACATTTACGAAATTATGTCGAAATATCACTTTTTTTGCAAGGATTAGTATCTTCAGCCTGAGCTCCGTACAGTCGAAGGTGAGTCGAGAACTCGAAACGTCACTGCACACCAACACTTACAATTGCCAATGGCCACGAAGTGAAACCTGAAACGCTGTATTAAAAAGGGGTAGGAATCCTACTGTTATATCGAAATATCAAAATACTTACTCTAATCTCTCTAAATTTCTAAGGAAACGTCAAGGTTAATTTCATAATATATTTATATCGATTTAATTTGATGATTGGTGAAGAGGTACTTGCAAAGCCGTGGCTACTTAATTTGATGTCATACATACCGGCAGTAGTAAAGGTAGGTTAGTCGTAGCACGAGCCACGAGGTAGTATATGAATCTCGGTTCAGGCAGCGGCCATCGTTATTGCAAGTGGCCTACCGAACCGTAAATGGCCTATTGCCTCCATCGATGATTATGCACAGTTTTTTTTACAGTAGTTTTCAACATTGGTTCCTGAACCATTTTGCCAATATAGCTAACATGACACAATAAGCATGTGATCCTCCAGCCAAATTTTCGGTGGCGCTCCATGGCATGTGGGCCATAATGATTAATCGTAATATGGCCTAGGACTGTCAAGTCCGTAACACGTAACCAGTTTACCAAGCAGAATTAATTTCCTATTTGGTCAAATTACGCGATAACGTACAGAAAATATTTTAAGAAAAAAAAAAAAAAAAAACCAATGATAACAAGCATATTTGTTTACATGTACGGGCAAATTAGAATATTCTTATATATATTCTTCCCACAGCTTCCCTCGGAAATGTATGGATGACATTCAGGGGATAATTACTCCCGAAACCTCCCCCTAGTTCAAGTACTCGCAGCTACTGGGTGGTCGTGTGCAAAGCCTCATGCTATTCTGATATTCCATGGCCTTTTACAGTATTATCAGTTCTCTGACCTCTCATCTTAGGAGACATTTCATAATTGTCACATTTTATGATTATAGCAATTCATCAACGGGACATTAGGTATAGAAAGTCATCATAATAGTATTTCATCAACATAACATTTCATCCCTAAGTGGAACCTCTTGATATATGAGAACTCGTTGACGTCAGGATTGTAATATTGACGCTTCAGTCGGACTCATTGTTATATTGACGGTCCAGTCGGGCTGATTGTTATATTGACGGTCCAGTCGGGCTGATTGTTATATTGACGCTTCAGTCGGGCTGATTGTTATATTGACGCTTCAGTCGGGCTGATTGTTATATTGACGTTTCAGTCGGGCTGACTGTTATATTGACGTTTCAGTCAGGCAGATTGTTATATTGATGCTTCAGTCGAGCTGATTGTTATATTGACGGTCCAGTCAGACTGAAGAGTTATATTGCCCCTTGAGTCTATGGCCGCCGGTGTGCTATTCTTCACTAATGCCGCCGCCTCATGCCAAGCTTCCATTAGCTGGGCGTTGCCACACTCACGTGTTGGTCTCCCTCTCCTTGTTCCAACAATGTCTGGTAGAATATTGTGTGTCGCTATTTATGATTGTTTATATGAGGCTATTATTGAATCATATTGACAACGTCTACGCCTTGATGTTCAAGTTTTTATTGAGAATTTTATATTAAATACGTGCAGTGCGCTTAATTTGGGTCATATCCGCAGCACATCTATGTATACATGTGTTCGACAAGCTTTGTTTAATTGAACTAATGTCTGCTATGTGCACATGCGGAGTGTGTTCTCATAATTGATGGAACTTTGATGCCAGAATTTAATATATCATTCGTCTGCATGTGTCGCAAGGAACGTTTTCACTGAAGGTGTGGTGATTTTTCTTCCTGTCTTCTGTATTTTTATCTTCTTGTTGACATCAGAATTGCCATGGTAGTCATACGTGCATTGCGGCATCAGATTATCGGAGTCACTGCAGTGGGAAGATCTGTACTCACTTGCTCAGTCACGTCCTATTAGTTACCTGTTAACCATTGTCGTGCTGCATAGGTAAAGCTGTGCCTATGCTAGAAACTGTTGTTGCTATGTAATACGATGTAATGGGCTGTAATATGATATGAATATGCATGGCAAAGGTTGAACATGCTACAATGAGCATGATTCCTTTTGCAAACACTATCGTATTTAATTTTTTAAATATTGTATCACTATTTTTAAGTGTGTGGTCTTCTACTAGGGAAGTTTGAATTGCTCTTTCATAGGCCTGACGTGATAGACTTCTCTCAAAATAGCCCTCTGCCGATAGCACTCGAGTCGCACCCTTCGTGTTCGCCTCGTACCCTCGCTATAAGCACAAGAATGCTCCCTCACATCGCCTTCCCACATCACAGACTAGCGTTTACGCCTACATTTCCCTCTACCTCCTCTACATTGTCTCACGGAATGAGCTGCGTTTCACGCTAACGTTCCCCTTCATTTCCCTCAGATTGCTCATTCTTTCACGGACGTGGTTACGTTTTGCGCAAAAATTTCCCCCACTTTCCCTCGTACAGTTTTCTTCTCGAATGCTCACCCTCGTTTTGACACGTCAGAAGACTTCCGGCGTTCGAGCTGTCGAGTCCTGAGTCATCGGTCTGCCTGTTGAAGTTGGAACATTATACTTCATCCAAGAATTATCGTATTTATTTTCGTCGTTCATTTTCAGGAAACTCTTGATGTTTAGTGGTGAATCAAGCTGATAAAATTTGGTAGCCATTTGCTATTTTAGAAAACTTATAAAGTGTAATGAAGTCAAGTTGTGTCGGCAGAGCAGTTGTGGGGTCAAGCTGATGTGTAGGTAGGCGGGGCCGGAAGATATATATTTCGAAACGTTCGGTGAGATGTACGGTAGTCTTTTCTGGTACTGAATTGAATCACTCTCCTATAACGATAATGAGAACGAACAGCTTTTATTTGGGTTGCAGTTTGAATGTTACTTTGAACCTTCATTCACGCAAGACCGTAATACGAAGCCACGTATATTATGGACATATATATATATGCTTTCCTGTAGAAGATTTATTATCAGCAGTTGGAAGTTCGGTAGTTACGTCACACCTCGGTCGATCGTAATCTTGACCATAAATTTTTCAACAATTTCAAGAACCTTGAAGTTATTTCTGTTTATCTAGCAGCAAATAATCCTAGCTATATATTTAGTTCGTTGTTGGTATCATTCGGGGTGCCTCATATCACCCAGAAGTTAAAGTCTCCGTGATGTTTAAGTGGCTCCGCAGGCATATGATGTGAGTATCAAGGCATGTGGATTCAAATGGATCAATTAATTAAAGTAGTTGCATTGACCTTGATTTTGTGTCAGCATTTTAAAGTTCATTTGGTTTTCTCGAAACTCAATTTGAAACGCAAATTTTATGAATTGAAATTCATTTATTGCCATTCTGTAGTCAGTTCTATTTTGTTAACATAGGAGTTTCTCTTTGGAATTGCATTTTACAAACTTGACGCTAGTGAGTGGTATTATGATAATGAGTTCAATTTCGGAAGCCAGTTTTAATGCTCGAATGAGGATCTTAATTACTTTGACGGCACTCTCCTTGTTCGCAAGTTTTCATCATGACTCGCATGTGATGACACTCTTTAAACATGCCAAACTTGTGCAGCTAAGCGTGTAGGCTTTAGGTCATCACAATGTCGCTGCCCACGTGGGAGGAGTTTTATTGATGCCCAGGTGATGCGTAGGTGATGGAGATGATGCATACGTGTGAGTCATGTACGACCTCAGTCATGTCGATATATTACGTACTTCATGACTTGGTGCTACGTCAGCCTACGTGTGAGTGGGAGACATCAGTCATGTCAGCATATTGAGTTCTTTTCACTTCATGACTTGGTTATTGTAAATGCTGACTATTCGTCGCTTGCAGTCGGTACGACGTTAATTGCACATGGTGCATATGATATATGCTGCAAATTTTTGTGAAGTCTCAGAAATAACCTAGAAGAATACACAACTATTGATGATATGTTATGTTTTGTCGTCTGATATCTCTATGAACCTTCGTGTCGCTATCTTTAATTGTAAACTATTTATTTTGTATGAAACTTTAATGCTCCTGATTCCTTCGTGATCATCAGGATGCAAAAACGAAGTTCTTTTCCAAAGAAGATCATCTTCTCTGAGCCACACCTGAATCATGCAATCTGAAAAATAAAGTCAACCCACTTGCAAGACATTCACAGTATTCTCGAAATCTATTCCTCAGTGCTTGTCCTTATTGGGAAATTACAATGTGGCTCTCCGATATACATGTATATACTGAAGTATTCTCCGTTTGTTTAATGCGGTACATTGGCCATCAACTGTCTCTCTTCTTGACCGTATTGTGATATCACAATCTGATACTTTGATTTATTTATTTGTATACTTTGTTTCTTTATACCACCTGAAATAAAAGCCTTCTCTCATCCTGAGGCGTTATTACGATGCTATCAAAATAAGTCAACAATGTAGCAAGGAAGAATTTCTATCGAATAGTTGACTGTTGACGCTGCAGTGCAGCTGTTGCTTTCAATCTAACGCCGCTTGTAACTTATGTATACTTTACTCTGCTCGGGAGTTTACCTTGTTTATTGGCCTAATATTCAGATATCTTTTACTGCAATTAATTCAATTGGTTGATGTGATGAGAGATTTTTCATCCTAAAATTAAAGTGATTTTTCATCCTAAACTTCTAGTGATTTTTCATATCAAACTTCAAGTGATTTTTCATCCTAAATTTCAAGTGATTTTTCATCTTGAACTTCAAGTGATTCTTCTTACCCACGTGAGGCCTGAGCCGTACAGAGAGTTCGACAGAATTTGATTTATTTGATGCAAATATTTCTGGCGGTGCCTATGCCTGGCCGAACCGTTCTTCTCGCGGTTTCGTTCTGTGCGCAAGAAATAAACGTTTCTTCGGGCGGCTATAAAGATTGATATCGAAGCTTTCTTCCTCGTGTGCCGTCGCGCTGTTGCTGGGTGTCTTTGAGATAAAAGATAACAACTGATCGCACGTGCCGTTCAATGTATACAGATCGACCTCGAGGAAAATGACCCGACTTGGCTGCCGTTTTGTATTTAAATAGGCGTCTTATATGTTACGCCGCCTGACGCTTCATGTTCTTTGTTTACTGTAGCAGAATAGAAAAATTAATTTGTAGCATATGTTTGACCAAATTTTGAACTACTTGCATTGGGCTGTTATTTTGGTGCCAGCCGATAATGGTGATCATAATGATATATTCTATTTACAATGACAATCAATTTTTAGCGAACTAATGTCGATCGACGGATGTTATATCTCGGCGTGAGGACTCTTCGAGTTATCGCGATATCATCCAACTTCAGATACCTGTTAGAAACTCCTTGACGAAATAATCTGCTTATTTGTCCTATAATGACGCTGTTAATAGGTATTGAAGCGTTAAAAACTGACGATGAAAGTATACCGGCATTTGCAGCCGATGGTAACGTTTTCTAAAGTCGCCGTAGACGCTCGGAGCCTGGCCGTCTCGATCCATACGCGACTAGCGCAGCATGAGTCAACACGGGACTGTGGAGCCGGGGCAGCAGATCTGCCTTGTTTGGATAGCGTCGTGTGGGCGGAACTCGAAGCTTCTCGTTCCTATAGCCGCCGTGTTCTTGCTAACGTCTTCTACTGCTTAGGAAGCTTCTTGCTATCCTTCCGGAGATTCAGCGTCTCCTGCTTAGAAAGCTGCTTGCTATCCTTCCGGAGCTTCTTGTAATTTCATCGGTTATCTTGGATAAATGGGCACTAATACATGATAACATGTATGGATGGGGTCGTGGAGGTTAGAGATTCTCGTTCCCATAGCCGCCGGGGTTATTGCCCAGGGTATTGCCTACTTGCCATCTTACTTGCTCTCGTCCAGAGATTCTCTCAATTTTTTTTGTTATAGTATACCTAGTACATATGGTATTATATGTGTTGAAATATATGTCAAGTTTGGCCTGTCGCCTATTCATGTAACGTTCTTGACTTGTCTCTTCTGTATGAGTTCTGAGAACTGATATTTTGACCAGATCTATATGAAATTAAAGTTATCGTACGTACATTCGCTGATGATGGTGATAACTAATACGCAAGAACGTGCTTAATTTCAACACAAATTTTATGGACTGTTGGAGGTCTTAGTAGTATTTCTTGGAATCTGAAAGCCTTGTTCCCTTCTCGTCGTGACGTCATTCTAACAACTCGATAAACCAAACTGATGCATTCTTGATTGGCGATATTTTTCACCGATCCTTGTACAGCTTATTTAATTGAGGTAAAAATATTAAATGTAACAGATGAATGCCACGATAGGCGTTACCCTTACTGAAAATAGCGACAACGTTGATGTATGCAATGGACTGAAGCAAACCTTCAGAATTTTTTTCTCCATTCCACTAACTCCGTCCCCTTCCTCAAAATTATATTAGTCCCCCCCGCTGGTAATACCTATATACGCACCCAGTGTGGCAATCGTTAAAGGAAACACGCCATGGCAATAAGGGGTGGTGTTACTGGTGTACGTAGGCAGGCATCCACAGAGCCCGTCTCAGGCGTCGTAGTCTTGAACTTTAATTTATCGACAAATTTGCAATCTCGAGAGAAACCGCTGCGAAATTAGTGGTTTAATTTATTAATGTTTGAATATAGATGGATTTCCGGTATCGACAATAACTGCCCTTGGCAACTTCAGCGACATGCGTTTGATTGCAGAGCCTCAATCGACTTCAGAATTGCCAGGTTATTTTTTAAAAATATGATCTTTATTACTCTTGATATTTAATTCAATTATGTCGAGTTAACATTCATTCATCTGGAGGCTATGCCATTCTCAGCGCAAGTCAATGCTCGACATCACTGCGCATGTCAGTCTAGGGCTTCTCAGCATGGCTACACGAGTACAGACTGTCACTTGCGTCCCGCCACTCTTTTAGCAGGTTCACTCCTGCACCTTGCGTGACACCGTTGCTTGTATACATTCAGTTTGCTTGCAGATGAAGGTCGCTGCCTTGTACTATTCTGCTTAATTTTGAAATGCGTCATTGATATAGAATTGATTTATATTTATTATTTACTCGGCATTAAAAAATTCTTAGAATACATATTCATTGATTTACTGCTTCTCTGCTGAATAGATTTTTTATTCTATCTCACGCCATCACGTATAAGACCTACGACGAACAATCGGTCTTTCCCTCACGTATCTTTGTATTCGTAATCGTATCTGACTCGTATCTTTCTCGTATAATTGCGTACCTCTAGTACGGCAGTCCGGTGAACATTAACACTGGTTGGTGCTGCTCGTATCAACAGGCGCTCGTTGATGCAGTCAGGCTGCTGGCATGTGGCCAGAACGTCAGCCTCGAGTCTAGCGTCTCCTTCATAACCCTGCTCTCGCTCGACGTAGACATTACTCCTACTATTTTTTGTCCTTCGCTAGTGTTGCGTTTTTTTTTTTTGCCATCTACATTAGCAATTAAAAATTGATCAGTTATGAAATAAATCATTCCATGCTTGGCCAAATACTTTTCGAAAAGCGTCGTCCTTGCCTTTTACAACTCGAGTTTCGGTAGGTTCAATTGAGTGATTGGTAGGTTCTATCGGCTGAAACTATTGCATTATGTCTCTGAATAATTTATTAGTTACACAAGATAATTCGGAGTTATGTTGTGCGAGCAAGTCATTACTAATCAATATGTTGCGTCTGGATTACAACAGGATTCTCTTGAGTTAACCTAACCGTGTAATATATTAAGGTATGGTTTGTATTTATTCTCATGTGCCTTCTCTCCTCTTACCTGCTCACCTGGATATCGGTAAATTACTTGAATACATGTTTTTATTATTCTTTAGAGCCTTTTTACGATGCTTTATGTTGATAAAATAATTAGTCAAGCATTGTACCGCTATAAATTTACATTTTGTGCATCTACAAATCTTTCTTATTATCTTTTCATTGTCGTGCGAAATTCGTGTTTGTATTTCCTTTCAATGGCTGCTATATGATCCTTGATACCTATCTATTTTTCTTCAGTTCCATACGCTTACATTCTTTTGGATGCTGTATACGGCTTGATATGTTTACAGTATAGTTATAGGTACTTGATTTTGATTTCTAGATGTTTTCTTATTTTTTACCACATGAAATTTGAATTTGTAATTTTTTTCTTTTTGCGTAGATTTCAATTATTGATGACTTTTAGCTTCTTTTATAAATTCTCCCACGCGAATCATCTTCTGGAATATACACGCTGCGTCAGATCATTACATAACTAAATGTAAATTTTTATCTTTTTTTATAATACTTACACTATTGAATCCGGCTATTGTGATTGTTCATGCCTGGCGATCATTCAGTTCATGCGTGCGAGAATCCCGCGTTCAGAGAGGCTCTGGAGACAAAGAAGTTAAGCGAGAATCAGAGACTTTTTCAAAGAGCTCCTCCAGGTGTGCACGGATTCGGTTCCCCTTGTATCCCTTCATTGCGATCACATTTAACGAATTTTAATTGTGGTTATATAAAACTTAGTCCCGAAGTTCGTATAGCCATGAAAAAATTTAAACTTGGTGCACGGGATGAAAATCATGCCATTAGGAACTGTCAGCTGGGAATGTTTTTAATTTCAACATATCCATCTTGAGCCAAAACAAAACTACATTCTGATTTCATGAAGATTTTTAGTCGAGGTTAGAGGTTAGAACCTTTTATCATTGAGGTTAACTTAAACCTGCTCTCTCTCACTCTCTCTCTCTTCTCCTCTCTCTCTCTTCTCCTCTCTCTCTCTTCTCCTCTCTCTCTCTCTTCTCCTCTCTCTCTTCTCCTCTCTCTCTCTCTCATATGTCTGTTCGCAGAAATGGTCATGTGAAATAACCTTATGACGTATTGCAGCCAGCATGACAACCAACTGCAGCCACAGGCAGGAGGCTCGTGGCTGGAGGGAATGAACTCGCCTCTCATCCAGAACGACGGCGACTGTAAGCAGCTGAAGCTCAGGTTCGACGTGTCACAGTACAAGCCCAACGAGATCGTTGTCAAGACTGTCGATAACAAGCTGCTCGTGAGTACATTCAGATCATTGTTATTTATCTATTTTTAGAGAGAAAAAAGGTGGAAGATGGATAAAATTTATGATTGAGGAAAATTCTTTTCCGCTTGCTTGCTTGGAATGTTTCAAAAGCCACAAGTGATGTATTAACTAAATTCACTATATAAATTTACATTAAAAATATCATCAAAAAAGAAGCAACATAGTTTTTCTATATTTTTGATCGACAGTAAAATGCGAGGTCTATCCGATATTTAAGATGTTAGTTAGTTTAAGAGGTTTTTATTAAATTCCCAAACTATGAAGCCTTATTATTATCAATGTGATCAGAGATAACGGGATTAAAAAAATTGCAGGAATAAATAATAATTAAGCCCTGACAACGCCCTGCTAGGGCGTTATTTACTTTGGTATTCATGTTATTTGTGTCCTGTGTTATTACTGACGTGAATACTTTTTTGCAGGTTCACGCCAAACACGAAGAGAAGAGCGATTCTCGAAGCGTTTATCGGGAATACAATCGAGAATTCCTGCTGCCAAAAGGCACGAACCCGGAGTCCATCAAGTCGTCCCTCTCTAAAGATGGCGTCCTGACCGTCGAGGCGCCATTACCCGCCATCACGTCCGGGGAAACGAAAATTCCCATCGCTATGAACTGAATTCCTCCATAGGTCACTCGTCGTAAGAATACTAATCTTCGGAGCTAAATTTCTTAGATTGGATCGTCATCATCGTTGCGTAACAAATTTTTTGGGCTGTATTACGCGTAAGAGGCTTTCGAGTGTTCCTGTGTCGCAAGTTGGTGCTGCCTGTAGCAATGGCTGTTCGTAGCAAGAGTCGAATAATTACTCTCTTGAACTGAAAAGGTTTAGCTGCATTACATTCTATTTTTTTCTGCGTCCAAGAGTACGGAAATTTCGGAGGAAGTTCGAAAGTTGGCTCCATGATTCATTGCTAATAACTTCTGTGTGAATTTCAAACAATAGTTACCTTGAATCCAAATTTTACTTTGGCTCGATTTCATCCCGTACGAACCGCTTCATCAGATGCTCATGAAGTATGTTTTTCTTAGATGAATTTGAACTGTTAGAGCGCAACTCGTCGATGTGGCCTATGGTTCTTTTAGTTGCGCTTCGAGGTTCTTTTTGTGGCCTACGGTTAGAGACTACTTTGTATCGTTAAATCTATGAACGGAAATAATGTTACCTTGTACCAGTTTCTGAGACAACTCCTATCGACAGTGCTTCAGCATCGCTACATATCACCGTGTATACTTTGGGCACATCTTCTAGCCGGACATTAAGTCATTCGTAGTTGCTCCCACTGATGGGATTTTTGGTACTCGAATCAAAAATTCATTTGGAATGCCAAAGGACTTGACAATATTACAGTCTAAAGAGGTTCCCTTGCACGGTGGTCGTTTTAGTTCTCTGTTGTAGTTCGTTATTTTGTTTACATAGTGGATTAACGTTAACATAGCGTATAGTTACGGACGTAGCAGAGCTGGATGCTACGAGAAACTAGACTTTTTATTTATGGAAACTAACAACTGATTGATGATGCTCTGGAAGATTCCAATTTTATTCTCATTGGTTTTTATTCAACTCAGAAGACGTTTATTTTCCAATAAAGAAATACTCACATCATCTAAAAAATGAGTATACGTTAACCCAATATTTATGAGAAATTTTTTAGTGGAATTTCAAGGAAACGACGAAGAAACTCGCGTATTTATGAGAAACTAGTTATATGCGAAGCGTATGTAAAGTCTTACAATAAGATGCATGTACAAGGCGTAACGCTCTATACAAACGTTGAAGCTATGGTTACAATAGCACATTCAGCTTCGTATTAATTATAGAATAGCAACAATGCTACACGAGATCAGAGGATGCAAAGTTTGGTTCTGCATCGTCTTCATAATTGGATAACCTCGAAACTTGTTATTTACAGCTCCTATATCGAGTGTATCTTCTAATGTTAACACACTGAAGTCAATCTTAAGATAGAGAAGCGAAATAATACCTACATGCTCACATCTTTGCTAGAGAAACATGTATTAGCAAGACAAGGTTTACACAAGGTAATTGGTAAACAAGTTGTGTGATAAGCAGTTTGATTATTTTTTAGCAATTAAGAGCCTGCTACTAGTCAAATGAATAATATGACATCCGAGCAATATAGTGAGTGGCCTCTCAATATGTCCGGAAACTCGACGGTAGAGAACTAACTACAGCTAACCACGAAACGTGGCATCAGCGATTCAGTGACAAGTTTTACGAAAAAATTCACTTCAACTGACGAGTAAAATTTTCAGAGAGCATAAGAATAAATAGTTAATCTCACGGTGACGGAGATTCAATTTATATGATCACAGCATTTATGAGTACCGGTTTTTTCGAATACGCAGGTCGGATAGCGAGTCGCATTGACGCATCTAGTACAAAGAAACTAGGATAATCTAACACTAAATTTTTCGTCAATGTTACAAGAGACCTGTAAAAATGTTTTTTTGCAAGAAAGATTCTTTTTCACGAAAAATGAAGTTCCAAAATTACTTGTGCACCTAATCATGCTGTGGTAATGAATGGCATACTAAAATTTCTCTGAAAAGCATAACAGTTTATAACAAGACGCGAAATGTAATATTAGACACAAATTTAACATTGGGTGATCTGGATAGATTTAGTAATGAAACTATGCAACAACTTGTACTAAGTTCACCTTTCACGTCCGTACGCACTTCGGAATTCGTGTGCTTCAAAAGCCCGAATCGCGTTTCAGCGAAATAATATAGCGAGTTTTTTCTAACCGGTACTACTGTAAATTATGATTTAAAAGAGCCGTTTTCATCATGCATCACAAGACAGTAAATTACGACGGGGAAGCTACTTCACAATATATTACTTCTATTCTAGTAGCTTGATTACCAATTTATATTTGCTTGAAAGGAAACCTCTCAACTAAAATCTCATCAGGATGAAAATTATTGGACAAAATTTTCATTCAATCAATTACTGCACTAAACGGATCGTCGTGGCAACTTTTTACCGAGGTATCAGCAGGGTATCGAACTTCTAGTCTGATTAAATCAAGCCTTCTGGACATATCAAGAACGAGAATGTTGATCAAGACGAGGCAACCCACAACTACAAAACATACTGGAAATTTGAAAGAAGCTGATTCAATAAAATAACGCCAAATATACCAAAAAATACAAAAGGCAGCATAAAAAATTTAGTTAACACGACTCTGCGGCGCTAACGTTACGAACACATTGCATTAGTGACGGCAGACACTAATTCTGATACGTGCTAATTTGTAAGATACTTATTTTTCAAGTTTTTCATCCGCATCTAAAACGGTTTGAACGAATCCATTATGCGTCTATCAAATGATAAGTTCGTTGTAATATTGGAGGTAGGAAAGGAAAAGTAAGCCGACGAGTGAAATGTCGACCCCCAGCTTACATTAGTGGCATTATCGGGAGCACGGAAATACATACAGTAAAGTCAGACAACACAATAATTTGATCTTCAGGTCGTTCAGCATCTAAAGTTTCCATTTAAAAGACCAAAATATCTTTGCTATCGTTGAATTTTCAACAAATTATGACATTAGGTTATTTACCAAAATTTTAGTCCTGATCGGAAAATTAAGAGATTAATGTAAGGATTACCATGATCCATGAACAAATCTTTACGGTTGCAAATGAAGTCAAAAGGTTTGCAGCAGGTATATCTTGTGAAAGTGTTTATATTTATTCCATTGCAAATAATTAAGAAACATTGGAAAATCCCACATTTTCATGAAGAAATGTAATTGATTCATAAGTCAAGTAAGCCTGAAAAAAAAGCGTGAGAAGCCGTTTCCGTTCCTTATTAACTTCGACCTAGTCAAACTTCATCCCATTGCAATTAAGGAGTTAAATATTCAAGTTTACCAAACACTTTGGAAAAAGAATTGTATTGACATCAAAGACTAGGCGATTTAGAACGCGAGAACAACTTTATCTGGTAAACATCAAAAAATCTGTATTACAATCGGTATGAGCCACACACAGCACCAAACTATTGACAATTAAACTTGAAGTACTTAAAATAGGCAGAGACAAAAGATTTTAATTTAATCATAGTTAAACCAATTAGCAAAGTTGAAGAATTTCTATCATTCTTGGAATTTTACAGGCTGACAACCATCGAATTAATGACAATCTGTTATATACGTAAGTAAAGCAAATTATCGTCCTTGAACGCACTAAGTACACAGGTAAGGAAGAGAGTTATAATTCACAGGCCTTAGTTAAAAAAGGACGCACAGTTGACGAACAGAAGATGAGCTCCAGATCTCATTGAAAACGGTAAAGAATCTATCTGGATTCAGATATACACGAAGAATTAAAATACGATCATTTGGGATAATTTTCATATTGCCGACTCAAAAAATACAACAGAATAAAAATAAAGAATAATATTTGCAAAATGGTGAACATCAAAATACTCGAACAATAATTTACACAAGATGTTATTCCGCTCAACTGAAAGCAATTAGCACAATAAACAACAAAAAGTCGCATGCCCCCTGAGATTAGTACAAATAAAATGACAGGTTATTTATGCTTGGTGACATCAGGTATCATTTCTAAATATGGCTCATCAGTAGTTACAAGCACACAAGTAAATGGAGCAAAAATGTCGAGTATGACATCCTCATTACAAATCCAACAGTTCTCTAGGCACAACAAGAAGAAAAGTGCACAGTTGCTATCATTAAAACAATCGAAATCATATTTGAGTAACTTGGAGTCATTTCTCAAGAAATGTATCAAAACGATCTGAAGAACAAAAACGCTATGAGCAAACGACGCTAACAGCAAGTTCTGTGAGACGAAGGGAAAAGTGAAATGGAATGCCGGTGAACGTCATCAAGTCCCGGGACAAATCTCAACTAGCTCCAAACCTAATTTTAGGTTAGTCACACTATGATAATAATGCCACCGTTTATAGACACGCTTTATACAAAAAAAAATTAATGCACCGATTTCCGGCGAAATAATGCTGGCATTAGAGCAACCGCAATTCTTAAGATTAACCTTACGAGCACAAAACACACAGCCACGTCTACTGATTCCACAAAAGGTGGAGCTTTTGATGATGCAGTCTCATCCAACAGTTATCTCTACAATTTTTATACTTTGCTTCGGCTATTAGGAGGATTTCTCAGCGGAACAATCTTGGGTGCATACTAATTGAGATATAACTAAAAAAATTTAACATCGCATGTGTGATAGAATTTCATATCAAGTGACGAAATTCAAAATCATTGGTAAACTTTTTTTTCTTCAAAAATAACAGTAAACAGAAATTTACATCAAAGGATTACTAAGAAAGCTGGTTCCTCATCCAGTGTCTTGGACACACATTTGTTGTATGGCCCGAGAAACGTTCTCAACTTCTCTGGTGCGCAGCACATCGGCGTGCAGATCAGCAGTAGTGCTGTGTAAGTCGGCAGCAGCAGCGGCAGAAAGGTCTTCCATGCTGCGCGACCGGGCAACCATTCCTGGCACGGCGTAGCACGGCCTTCCAGTTGCCACTGCGTCAGACCCAGAAATTGCGTCGCCTGTCAGGGACACAAGCGTTTGTTTCTTGTTCTTGCCACTTACTCCGCTGCTGAGGCTGGCAGTACGAAGTCTGTAGCAGCCTGTCAAGTTGCTCGTTCTCTCTGAACTATGGACGCACATTTCAAACAAGGCTGAGCACTTTTCACTCCCTTCTAAAGTGTAAGGGTGAGATCTGAATCTTTTTCTCCTTAAAAAACTGCGTATGTGATCTTTCTGCCATGGTTTTCCCTTTTCAAGAGAACCACAAGAGGCAATTGAATGACGAGTCTTCTGAGAATTAGCCAAGTGGCCTGGCAAGCTGTAACTGCTAAAACTTGAGAAGAAATCCGAATTAATTGTCAAGGTTTTGAGGCCTGAAAATATTGAATTCTCTTTTTCGACAGGGCTGCAATTTTTGGAATCATTTGTATCTGCAGTCATAGTGGAACTCAACAAAAACTTGTTAGATAACCTAGGAAAAAACGAATTGTGCCTCTCCATGATGGAATGAGTAGGTAAGTTTTCAGAACAGCCCTGCAGAGAATCAAAAGAAGCACTCTCTGTATTGTGGCCTTCCAGTGACTTTGTTGGTGTGTGTGGCATAACAGTTGCTGCAGAGGCCGAAGCAGCAGTGCTGGCCCCCAGTCCGCGGTCACTCAGACTTAGAGCCTCAAGGCGGCCAAATATTTGTTCTCTTTCTTGCAAGTATTGATGTCGGCTGTCAGTAACACGGCTCAACAAGCCTGCAACACAACACTTTATTAGAGATGCATAAGAAAAATCTCCCACAACCATTTCAATAACAAAAACATTAAATTATTTCATAGGAATATTACTTGCATGAATGCATCTGACTAATTGACTCAGCATTGCATTGCAAACACACAGATAAAGTATATATATACGGTATTGGTTAGAATAATTGAAAGCTAGAATAAAATCATTTACAAAAGTAACAGCCACAACTTGAATTTCTCTGAACCCTACCTTAAAATTTTGAGAACTAATAACTTACCAAGTGCATCGAGGGCATAATTCAAGGTGTCTGAAGTATAATCTTCAATAGAGTCTCCTCCTCTGGCTGAATTGGTGCTCATATTTGTGCTGCAGCATCCATTTTTTACAACCTGTAAAGCAAAAAACCAAAACAAAATTAGAAATTATTTTCAAGAAGCATAGTTGACTCAGCCAATCCACTTAATTCAGCTTCTTTTTGACAAGCATGAAATAAATCGCAACAAGATACAAGGCTGAACAAAATATAAGAAAAATCATCTCAAATTAATTAGAATACCAGTAATACTTGAATTGAGAAAATTAAACATGCATTCATGGTTACAGATGATTACAATACACTACATTTCTATAATGCAATCTTGAAGACCAATCACAGGTCATGTAGCCAACCAACTACAGCATGCTAGATGAAATATAAATCAGTACTCGTGGCAGTGAGTGACAGAGAGTGCATTTTCTCGTCCACAAAAACATGAAGTCACGGATGGATGGACAGACGGACAGGGCGAGCACAATAGTGCATTTTTTTTCATAAATGAGAAAATGCGCTAAAAAATGTGTCAGGCAAACAATGATGAAATCTTCAGCACATCCTCCTGACTCTGCACACCAGGATCATTTGATTAACATTTCTACTTTCTTATCATTAAGTAACCAGAACGCCAATTAAAATGTCAATAATTTGATGCCAGTAATCATCAAAGTATCATTCAAATATTATATATGGTGCAGGAGTGATGGTTATAAATCTACCAAATTATTTATATACAGCTATTAGATAAACTTAGTCATGATCAATACAATATCATGACTATCTTAAAATCATGTTTTCTCCCACAGTTTTCAGTAAGATTTCAAGAATATTACAATCTGGCTTCAAGTATGGTGGCTGCGCTCATAGGATGTTTCTCAAATCTTTGAACAGATATGCTAATCAATGTTCTTTATTTTAATTCCTTACTCCTTACTTGATCTGATAAGACTAGTGACACAAAAATTTCAGTGAGCTTCACTCATTTCCTTTACTATTTTCCAAAGTTTATCTATCTATGTAAACAAAGGGAAACCATGATTACTTTGCTAGCATTATATGAGTTTTCTCTACTGTCTTGAATGTGCCTTGTATTCTTGCTACCAAGATCCCTTGACCAGCACCTTCCCTTGCACTCCTGGAGCACTGTGGGGGCTATAGTGATGTTACATGAACCTAAATTCCTACAATTCACTTGACTTTACTCAATGTTATATTGAGAGATACCTTAAATAATATTGTAAAATCACATATTTGATAGAAGTTCAGATCAAGTGACGAAATACAAAAATTATTGGCAAACATTTTTTAAAAAATAACAGTACAACAGAAATTACACAAGGACAAGAGGGAATAAATTCTTCTGTTATAATGCAGAAAGTAAATTTCACTATTTGAATTTAGGAGTGTACAGCTAGGACAAGGTTGGTGTTATGTTTCACATGTTCATCATTTACAGATTATCTTTAATTTTAGATAAGATTGTTCTTAGAAATTAAAAATATTTGATTACTTTTCATATAGCACTTAATCAATCATGACATCAACATCTTTCTCACAAGAACCTGAAGGCTCTAGTGGTATATGGTATACATACATCTACCAGTTTGGGAGCCTCCATATGGTACACAAGCAACTACACTAGTCAATGGTAAAAACCTGAATGATTTTATGAAAGTTGACATTTACTAAATTTTTATATAGGTACCACATGATAATAATGAAAACAATTTTGAAATTCCAAGATTAGATGTCAGTCAATAATTAACATTTTTGTTTAACTCTTCTGGAATTACATTTAACAAACCACTGGTGGGCAATAGTATAGCATTATCCTCTTTCTAAAACCTTCTGAGTGTATTGTTGAGTGTAGTAAATTATTAGCCTGGTTAGGGAAGGGATAATGGAAGCAGAATTGAGACAAGAAGTGAATGATGGCAGATGACACTGCAGCATCATCATGATCCTGCAGATGACTGCAGTTAATGTGACAGCATTATGGAACTGTCATTGTCATACTCTCTACAGCTGTTCCGATTCCAGAAAGCAAAGAGTGAGCAAATCTCTGAAGATCTTTGGCAACACATAGGGACTTGTTCACTTTTCTTGACAATTAGATAGAGTTGATTCATCTAGCAGAAATTGGGTAGTTCCAAGAATAGCAGGAAAGCTCTAGTTATGGCTTAAAAGATAGATATATTCCATGACTGTCAAGAAATAGATCAGGAAATTATAAATAAACTAGTGCCTCAAAGTCTCAAACTAGTGCCATAAACAATACAAAGACTCAAATTTGTAAATATGCTTTGCATAACCAAAGTGGTCCAGAATAAATCATTAAATATGAAACACTATTTATTAGGTATTCAACTATAGCCTGAACATGAGAACTTCACTACAGACGGAAATATTGATCAGTGCATTGATCATATCAGATTAAATACAAAATGTCTTTCATTGATCACCTTAAGAAATTAAGTAAATTTAAATTGATACTCTAAGCTTACTATGTCAAACAAAGCCCTAGTGGAAGATTTTCAAGAATAATGGAGAAGACTTGGGGAAGCATTTTCGTCATTGAGTATAAATTTTTTAAATCACATTGCAAATAAACTAGAATGTAGCAGGGGTCTGGACTCAACAGATATGAATGTGTGTTGAGGATAAGATTAACATGTCAATAATATTCTTGAACTTGAAGTCAAAGAACTTAGTATTGACATTTTTTAGACACTCTTGTGGCATTAATTCTAAAAAATCTCACCCAAAAATGGTAAATGTATTAAAAAAAATCTTAATTCTGAAAATATGTGATAGAAATACTAATAACAAATTAACAAGAGCTAACCTTCCCATTCCATGTTCACGAGTCACAACTCTTCGAAAAATATCACATACCTAGGCTAGGTATTATCTCTTCTCCCTATACAGCATATAGTAATTTTAGAAAAGAGTATTCTTAATTTTACAGATGCTAAATTGATTTAGGCCTTCCTTATGATTGAGCATTTTATTATCATGAAACATAAATCACAAAAACAAATTACAATTTAACAATTTGCATAAATTTGACCCATTTTAAACAATGATACAACTTACCTACTTGAACTTAGGTAGGTACTACAACTTCTACAAGGCTAACAAGCACAAACTTTAGCAAACTTAGCCAGTTTTAGGCTACTTCAAGTTTTAATTCTGGTAACCTGGTTCCTGGTATAATAATATTATGAATGGTAGATGAAGACTAAAAGAGCAACGTTCGTTAACGCAACAAATATTTAATACTCTTACTTTTCGCTCAGAAGAAATGTAAAGAGGGTTCATTTGAACATATCTATTAAGTAACAATGAAATTTTTAGACAACTGAGCTTTAAATTAAATACTTATGGCTTATTTATGGGAGTCGGGACAAGTGCTGCACAACTTCATGCAGTCAGAGCTGAAGCTTCTTTCTCAGTTCTGTCTAAAAACTGAAGGACGTTCACTGTTCAGCCACAACGATCGCTAACAAATTTTCTTCCTTTGGTATGAACCAAAATGAAATAAAACCGATTTAGATACGTGTCTGAAAATATATGTAGTTGGAAAAATGATAAAGCTACACTCACCTCAAAGAGCACAAATCTTTTTAATTTTAACGAGAGGCAGACAATTGAGCAGAAATACGACGAGCGATTTGCAACACCACCATCTACGCTGAGACCTTCCCCAATTCTTAGGTAAACATTGCCAGTCGAAGTTGAATATATCTGTTGTAAGTTTCGACAGTAAAAACTAAATAAAGATAAATTAACTAAAAAATGTGTGAATTTTGAATGAAAACCAATTAAACTCCTTTGTGTGGAGTTTTCAAGTTTTAAATCGAAACCGAACTCTCCGCGGGAAATTCGAATTCTGAGGCGTTGTTATGCTTCTAAGCACAGTAATTGAAGTAACAATACAATTTTCATAATCACACCTACGCTAAGTTTGTGACAAAACGGTGATGAATTATTTTATACTGATAATAAATCCTTTCAGTAGATGATTCGAAGAGACATACTAGATCCGAACTGAACTAAGAACATGAGTGGCAATGACTTTCCAGCAAGTTTTTATAGATAAAATTTATATTATACGTATAAAATATCTCTAATACATAAGAAAACAGTTCCATAGAGAGATAATTTTCTTTAATTTCATGGAAGGTTTTCTGGGGTTTAACTTGAATTTTGTAGCGAACCATTAGTTATTCAGTCCCTGGAATAATTTTATTTAATATACATTTAAATGCCTATTCCTTTCTGTCTGTCGAACGCTTTAATTTGTCTATAAACGATAATTTTGCGCTTTCAACAACGTTCGAAATCACCCGCAACTCGCATAATCAGCATGCGTGTGCCAATCATTCAGTGCGTTCTCTACAGGCTGCATGTTAATGCACATCAAATATCATAGTTCAATTTTTTATTCGCACATATATACCGTAGGGGTTGTGTGTATTCCAAGTTGAACTTTAGCCGTGTTTCCTTGTTTATGTGGATTTAAACAAAAGAGCAGTAATATTTAGTAGATTTTTCATGAAGCAACTGTTAAAATTTGCATAGTGCAGATATTCCTTGGCTACCGATGCCATTTTTGCTTATTAGCTTTATTTGGCTTTTATTTTTTAGCTTTTGGTTAGCTTTTTAACCCTTAGCTTTATTGGTTTACTACACGGTTGCGATAGCTCCTGAATTCACACGGATTTGTAAGGAAGTAAAAACATCATGGAAACAAATAAAATGTCAAGAGATTTTATTTTAATCAGAATGAATTTTCTCTGCTTTTGTATTATCCTGGAAGGAATGTGAAGTACTGTCTCTCAATCCCGAATAATCACAGACGCTCTCTACTTCTTTCGTCGATTCATTTAAATACTTGTCGGGAAGGATGAATAGAGAAAGCAAAAATAGAGTATGACTATATATAGTCATATTTCTCGATAGTTTATTTAGCAATGCAAACTTTAAGACGAACTTTGAAAAAACACAGACGATGTTAATTCATCGGGATCGACACTTTTCGTCATGCCAAAGAGCGAGCGATCTTCATAGAGAAATCAATTACACCGAAATCTGTTTATAAAAATAATAAAGATAAATTGAACTAATCACCTGATATTGCAATTGAATCACAAAACGGGTTTTTCGAAAAAAAAGATGTTTGAATGCAAGTTCTTCATTTCACAGCCTTCAATGCACGCAACTGAATGGAATTTGAGCAGTTTCCCTTTATTTAGTTAGGGAAAAATTGTTTTTCTCCGTGACAGTTCTTCTATTCAATGCTTCTAACAAATGTGACTATTCGCAGTAATATATAGTCTCAGATAATTTAATTATGATTTGCACAGATTTGAATTTGTAAATTTGCACACTTGAATTTTTTCCCTAACAGTTTAATTCCAAAAAAGTCCCCATATACATGTATATGTAGTATCTTCGGCGTTGAAGAATGGGCCTGTCACCGATTATTGCACTTTACTTGACCGGTTCGCATATCTAAAAGACTGGCCTTGTGATCAAATATTTTCAACGAACAGTGGTTTGAATGCGTTTGTTGACTTTCAGTTGTACTGTTGGGTACTATAGGCATTTCAAGACCACACATGCTCCTGCGCAGCTCTGTCTATGGTGACTCACTGACTCTAGTCTCTTCTTGAACGTGCTCATACTCGGAGCTTCAGCACAGAGAAGCTGTTCCACATGTCGGTGACTCGAAGCGAGAAGAAATGTTGTCGCATAGAAGAGTTGCATCCCAGTTTTTCAAGTTTTAGCCGTCCCCCTGGTGTTAGCTCTTGTTTCAAATTCTAGTAATCCTTCAGGGAACTTGTACAAGGCAGGGTGGCCTAGTGGTTAAAGTTCAGAGTACCAAGATTGGAGCAGAGAGGCGCGGGTTCGATCCCAGCTCTGTGCGCCAGTTTCTGGTCAGAATCGGCAAGGAGCTAGCCGGGCGGTTAAGCACAGCAGAATAATTGTAGCAGTGCGTTGCGAGTTCGAGACCGCAAAATGCTGTGAATGTAGTGCGATGTTAAGAATCGGCGACAGGCCTACGGCCTACTAAACGATGAAACCGCTGTTATTATTATAAAAGGAAAAGAATCGGCGACAGGCCACATCAGGCCTACGCTTCAGCGCCGACATCACTATGTTATGTTATGTTTAAGCCATGAGTATACTTGTATACTTCAGTGAGGTCGCCACGCAGGCGACGATAACAGAGAATTGGAAGCTTCATAATCTTCAATCTTTCTTCACAAACCTTGCCATTTAAGCCTGGAATTAACCTTGTCGCACGTCTTTCAACACTATCGACTAAATTTTTGTCCTTTTCAAATTTCGGTGACCACACAGCGTTTCCGAACCCTAGGTTCGGATGCACGACAGAGATCAACACCAGCTTCATCTCTTCTGCATCTATATATATAGCCTAGGTAACCGTACTCGTAGGAACGTCTGATCAGCCCAAGCAGTTTATTAGATTTATTGACTTGCCTTTCAATACGCCTAGAAAATTTTAGCTCCTTGTCGACACAAACTCCGCGATCTTTTTCCCTGCAAGACTTCTCAATCATAACCCTCTGGGTTGCAACCATGTGCTCTCATGCTGGAAGCTTGCTGTTCATTGTTCATGCCGAGGTGAAGAATTCTACACGTACTCGCCAACATTAAAACTCAGCAGCCACGCATCAGCCCAGTCAACTAAACTGAACGTATAGATGATCATTAATTAATTGACTATAAATACTTTTTTTATAATTTTTCTGAAAATGAAAATACACGCATTATGTTATTCTTCAACCCTCATTGCCAGAGATACGTAAATATAAGCTCTGAATTTTCTCATTCCGAATATCATTGTCCTGCTTCCAATTAAAATTGCGCAACTAACCAAGAATGCAATTCCAACAAACATTTAGCACGAAATCCCAATTTCGCTCCAGAGTCGAAACTCTAAGTTAATTTGAATTTCCATTATTCAACAAAATTTAGCATAGCAAACTTTAAAGTGCACGGCTGCTTTCCCTCACCGTGTGCTGAAGCTCCGATTGATTGATAAACAATAAATAAGATTTCAGATTCACAAAATATCACGACACGATATGTATCGTGGTTTAGTCTTAATACAGTCCCTTATATTTACAATGCTAGGCTTCAAAAACACTCACACAAACTTCGAAAAATACTCACATTAACAACTTAATATGACGTCCGTTCATCACGATATTCTATATACTCGTCTATGTCAAAGTAGTCTCTGCCGTGTACACGTGCTAGATTTTATTACTCGCTTGAAAGTCAAACCGTGCATGGACCTCGTTATTTTTTTTTTTATAATAAAGAATCTCTATAAATAACAATAACTACAAAACGTTGTAGTTTATAGCCTAATTAATTACGGAACTTCTAACAGTGAAATTTGTTACAAAATAGTTGCAGATAAGTGAAGTTTCCGCAGCAATGAGCACGAGTGTATTATATATATATAATATATATATTATAAATTTATACGCATATTATTTATTATTGATATGTATTATTATTTTGGCTTGGTTGCTCGGTTTCATATGAAAAACTACACACATTGAAATTGGTTCGCGATTAAGGTAATTTGTAAACGAAAATTTACGATCGTTTAAATTATTTTACTAAAAACGAAGTAGACAGGAAAGGACATAAAATATTTTAAAATTTGATATGGAATGTATAATCCAGTTTTTTTTTCTGTTGAAACATTCCATATCATGTTCACATTACGTTTCCGTAACATTAGATTTTAAAATCTTTTCCAGAATAATAAATATACCTCAATTAACCTAATTTTAACTGAAAAAGTTAAATAGCTCTACTGTAAAATTGTTTACGATATTAAAGGATTTAAAGGATACGATTCAATTCGCATTAAAGAATGACAAGATGTAGCTATAAGTAGGATCGCTCTTTAGACCCATATAATTCACGAGACAGAAATAGTTTTTAATTAATTACCGTTGGTGTTGCCCGTGCAAAACCCAAAGATTGAAATGAAAAACAAATAGTGAAAAAAATATTATAATATAAAATGAAGGACAGCCCTAGGGTTCTAGCAGGGGAAACGACTGCGAACTTCCCAACGAAGGACTTATAGAGTTGCGCTACCTGGCAATTCATGAGCGCTTGCGCATGTGTTATGCATTTAAAAAGGTTAATAGTAAGATACCAATTAAAAGCATTTTACCGAATTATGTCGTTACGAAATAGGAACTATCGTTAACTTTTAACTTCTAGCGTCGTTTCTCATAGCATCAAATGAGGTTGTGAATCAAAGTAGGTTTATCGCAGAACTCTTCGTGTATGTCCCGGATGTTCGTCGCACTCAGTTACTGAATAGATGTGGCTGGGGGCGGGTGTTACACAGTGTGCTCTTGGCATTTCTCATGGAAGGTAAGAAGTATCCCAAGTAGTGGAATTCAGCTGAGTGTTTATGGTGAAGAAAATGTGAGTGATATAGAGAATTTTAAGTGCTGTCGAATGGCTAAAGTTTCAGTGAAAGTGTTCGAAAATTAAAAAATAGTGCAACGCTGGGGCTTCGATCTGCTTTAGAGCAGTGAAGTTAGAGTTGATGCTAAAAATCCCCAGGCTTCATTATTACGTATTTTTGCACTTGTGTGACTCTTATAAAATGGTTATTAGGAGTTTGTTCTGTGATAATTGCGTTCTAAGCTTGCATAAAACTTGATTTGAAGTCATGGCTGCACGTAAGTACAGAGTTGGAGAGAGTGTCATGTTGAGAGGAGCTGCACACATCATACTCGCATAGTGTCTTTCGACGCACTGAACGGGCTCAGCCAGACGGCCATCATGCTTCCGAGCAAATAAGTCTCTGTCCGACCGAAACCCTACAAAATCCTACTACATTCCTGTTTTCCTGCATACTCATTTGCTTAATAGCTAAATATAATCAGAATTTGATTGAAACGATTCTATAACATCATGCTGTTGTTATATTTAAATCTATTATTCATCGTATTTTCTGCCTATATTTGCCCCTTGGTTGTACCGTACTGTAGGTGCCGTGCGCTAAATGAAGGGATTCTCTTGAGACGCATTTTGCGCTGTTAGTTACGCAATCGCTTCTTATTTTCTATGTTATCTCATTATTCCTGCCATGCGATTTTTTGATTCCTTTAACATTCACAGAAAATTTTGATATATTGAATTTCTACATTTGTTATTGTTATCATTAACCTGTTTCCGGGAGTATAACGACCAATTTAGACGTGGTGCGAAGATAGAACAGTCTTTATTCCACTCCTGTGTTTCTTCAGCCTTGTCCATGATGTGATGAAAAACACATTTGCCCATATCAGTGAACCCGCGTTGCTGTATTCATATGAGAGAGGTTTAATAAAGAGGTACCGTCCTCAGAGTGACGTTATCCCGCGATTTAGTTTTTATGGTTGAGTTTTAATTGAAGATTTGAATTCATGAATCAAATGATTCATGATTTTTAATGATTTCCTTGATGATTTTAATGACTTATAACGCACAAATCTTCGAACCATTGCTAAATACAATCCTCTGACGATTTTATTTCAGTTCTCTTTGCTGTATGGCATTTCAACTTGCGTAGTTGCGTTGTTGAATACTATTAAACTTTGAAATTATGTTGGTACATATGAAATCTTTTGGTTGAACGCTGTTGAATTGGTTAATTATTTTAGCGCTGAACGAATTCATGACGAAACACGTGCATTTCCTCCTTACTTACGTAGTTGCGCTTGTTGAATGAAAATATAACCTTGATGTTACTTTAAAATTCTGTTGATATAAATAGTTATTGTTGGACGTTATTAAATTTTAAATATATAATTATTTTGGCACTGAACAAATTCATGACGAAACATCTGCACTTCTTCTTACGTGCGTAGTTGTATTGTTGGATTACGTACAGGATTTCCTTTTGACATGACTTGTTTAGCGCTTATTATGATGAAACGTGTGCCCAACCGACGGCTGACCGCAGCCTCCCTACAGCTGACTCGTCGTGGTCAGGGAATTTGGGCCTAGTCTTGCCTTTTGTCTGCTCCTGCTTCTTATAAAATGCTCGTAGAAGTAAGTTTTTCTGTGTGGAAGTCACTGGTGACTGAACGAGGTGATTTGTTCATGTTATTATCGTCAAACATTTGGCTGGCATCACTTTAACACTTTCTGCTATTTAACTCAGGAAATGTGGCCTGTGCTGGAAGAGTTAATTTGAGATAAAAGAAGCCTTTTTTTCTTGTGGTTCGAGTGCACGGTTCAATATATTTTTTTATCAAATAGCCTTAATTGATATGCTTTTTTAAACAAAGTTAATTTTGCAGAACTCTGGGCACAATTTTCTTGCATCAAATATCATTGTCATGAGAATTGTCGTTATGACTGATCTCAGTCGGGGAAGTTCAAACTTAGAAAAACGATGCTATTTTTTCCACAATGCCATGTATTTTCGATATTTTTTTGATTGTATTGATATGAATCGAGATCATCTGATAATGCGTTGGTCAACTTGCATGGTGACGATGCTGGTGCCAGTAGAACTTACTCAACTTGTCGCAATTGCACCAACAAACTTTATGACGCTACCAAAGAGCTCGACATTAATAGCATGCTTTATTGAGCGAGGTTGAATTCTAATATACTTTTGTGGTAGGTTGATCGCAGACTTGTATTGCATTGCTCACACAATATATAATTCAAGTCACATTTGGTTTTCTCGACTGCTATGAGGCTCGGCTGCGGCTTGCGTTCAGTAATGTTAGGTGTGAGGCGCCTGCTGGTGCCAGATGTTGCTTGCAGTACCTACGTCGGTGAGGCTTTTGTAAACAAAGAAAGTCTAAAGCCCTACGCAGCCTTCTCAAGAATTCATCTTGTTCTAAGCTCGTCGTAATATGCTTTGTGTTGTATGCAATATGCGTGCCCGCGATTTTAGGGTTTTGAAGCAAGTATTATAATACATGGGGAGCATCTGATTTTCGTTATTTTTTATGAGAAACGAAACGTTCCTAAATACTTTATCGCGATTAGCGCTAAAAATCTAGACTAATTTTCACCTCTGTGGAAGTGCGAGACGATACGAGACGTTCCGGATAAATAGGAGCGTTTCAATTGTTCGGAATGTACAAATTTTTAATAGCGCATAACAATCTAGTTGACTGAATAACGGTTTGCTTGTACAACTTTGAGGAAATGTTGATTATTTGCAAAATCTGTTTTTTTGGTTTCACATTTTTAATTGACTTTGAATCAATTTAATTTCAATGTTCAATTTTAATTCATTCCTAATGAACGTTTTCCAATAATATTCTAATCAATTGTGTACCAACGGTGACTCATTACCTTTACTTAATGTTAGCGATACGTTACGTTAAGTTACGGTTACGTGTTAGGAGGCGAGTAGCACCGGAAACGGTTAGTGCACCTGTAACCAAAGAGTAGAACATTCAACGGAAATCAATGGTAACTTGGTAAGGGTGAGCTTCTAACTTCTATAAGACAATTTTCATTATAATTAATTTGTATGACTCGTTCTGAAGTATTGTTTTAATCTATGCATGATTGATTGGTGGTGCTCACGTATGAATCTTGAAAATAGGATGGCCGGTATGCGAAATATAATAACTGAGATTGAATTGGCGCTCAATGGCGACCACACATCAGAAGACACTGTAAGAAATTAATTGCCTTTTGTATATGCTTAATCGCCAATAAAACTAGTTGGGTCAGTTCAGGCCGTCAGTACTGGCTGCCGCAACTGGTCCCGCGAAGTAACACCTGTAGACACGACGTCACCGACGCGTGCTGATGCCACTATGATATTTCGATCTCTTACGGTCCTCGAGGTTCACCAGCAACATTTTCTTGCCAACCACATCTCGCCAAATCTGCTAATTAAGTTATCTTGCAAATGTGCTTTGCAGGCAAATGCCGGAAAATCTGCCCAACTGTCATTAATAATCTAATTTTGAATCCGTGCTATCCTTGTTCCGCTCTATCAGAATGTCTCGTTTGTCTATTACCTTAATAGAAAATCTTATTCTTTCTGTAATTTTCACACATTTCATTATATCCGGGGCACCATTTCGACCTTCCGGGACACAATTATTTTCCTGATTTATTTCTGAAGTCATTAATTTTCCCCTGGTCTCTTTTTTTTCTGTGACATTTCGTCTCGTTGTTCCGGTCTATACATTTTGAGAAAATAGATCCCTGACGCAAGAGTTCATGATGCCGATTAACTTAATTTGCTAACTTTGAAAACATTTAACTAATACTTTTGACTTCAGAGCACTTTTATTTGACTTCTGCACTGGTTGAATTACCATGTAATAATAATAGTGATAATAAATATATGATGAATTAATAATAAAAGTAGACTAACGACAGAGGCTAGCAGTGAAGATATTCGTCAACTTCGGTCATTGACAGTTTTTGCTCAATTATTCCCTGTTTTTAAACAAAATTTTTACAATAAAGTAGGTATTATTTTGCGCGTAGAGTATTAAATTAATCGGAACTCCGTTAAATATATCCATGTTTGAATCATTTTCTGTCTATGGAGTATGGAAAAATTTGAACATCTTTTATTTTTCGAAGAATCTTTTCTAAGTATTCGGCCTTGTTTTTTCCGCATCAAAAACTCAATAAGATATACCTCACGGGATGCAACGTTAATTCATGATTATCTGACCCTGTTTTAGTGAACGAAACTCAGCTAGTGATGCTCAGTAATGATATTGTTGATGATATTATTATTATTCAATTGTATAATATTGCAGAGCCTGCCTTCATTATCGGGCAGCATTGATTTGCTTGAGTAGGTTGCAGGAATAACTATTCCATGGAAAAAAGTGGAAATTTTTGAAAGCGTAGAAATATTTAAAAAGTTTTATTTATTAACCACTCTCTGACGTTATAATGGAATTCTGCAATTTGAGTTTGTATTGCTTACTTACAGGTTAGTCCAGCCTTGTTCGGTATAGATTGTAATCTGTGCAATTTTAGACCTGTGGTTGCAAATAATGTTCATACCGAACCCGGCCATCCGGAACTCCATCATTCAAAATCAAGTTAACAATTTTGAAACCAAAGTACCGTAATTAAAGAGAGTCCCGTTCGATCAAACCTGCATTTTATGCTGGAAATTAGAGGGAAGTTTAAAAAGTTAAAAGGAACAACTGGACTTTCTTCTTTTTGAATAAAATTTTCTCGCAGAAACGTTGAATTGCATACTGCAAACCTAGGAGAAAGATTAAACCCACGCGAATGTATACCGGAATTGAATAGGATAAGTGGGTTCAGATAGATGAAGTGAGATAGTGGGTTCAGTTGAGTGTGAGACAAATGGGTTTCTTTTTGCCAGCACTGTTAACAGTGGGTTCATTTAGCCTAGCAGCAGATGA